GTACAAGGGCGTCGAGAGCACGAATACGAGAATCTAAGAACGCGCTGATTTCGGTAAACGTTGGATATGCGACAGTAGTACCCAACTTATGTTCCCATGCTTCGCGCGAGGATTTGTCGAGTCTTTGTGTGATAATGTAAACAAAAATATCGCTCCAATATTCGACCGGACGCGACAAATTCTTTAACGCGACAATTGCGGCAGTTGATTTGCTCTGTAGAGCTCGAAGTTCGGTCGCCGATTTCGCGGTGACATGTGGCAATGTAAACAAACGATGAATGTATGCGTCGATCAACCGACGCTCGTTTTCGAAATTGGACAAGAGAATCGTCCATGCTACTGGAAAGTTATCGGAAGTAACCGTTAAATGTTCGATCGTTGTGAGCGCTTCGCCTTTAAGACACGAAAACAAATGATGTAGTTTTTGCACGTTTGACAAACTCTTTTCTTCGATGATCATCGATTTAAAACGGTCGCGGAAACTTTCCCATTTATCGAACGATCCATCGAAGACTGGTAACGATACCTTCGGTAAATTGAGTGTCGTATTAGACGCAGATTCGCGCGAATGACTTACGTTAGCCGAAGGAGCAGCGGAGGACGGGGAAAGTTTATGAAAAACCTCTGCGAAATAATCCAACGCTGTCTCGTAGGCTTCTTCGCAGTCGTCGAATTCGTGGTCCGCGTAGTAGGGATGCGTGACCTTCTCTTTCGCATCCGCGGCAGCGTATAATTTGGCATCTAGTTTACGGATTTGATCGAATTTTTCTTTCAAAGTATCCATGCGGTTTTTAGTCACTGCATAGGTCATCTTAGCCTGACCTAATTTTTTAAAATTGGAGACGGCACGACTCACTGATCTCATCAGGGCAACCTGCTCGTACATCAATTCTTCAAAGGACTCCATTGTGCAATGGTTTTTGCTGCCCAAATACGCGGCACAATAACTAGTTCACAATCGGATGTTTAACACTGACGCTCCGTTAACAGTCAAAAGGCAGGAAAACCTCAATCCTAAATCCGGCTCGAAGGACCAAAATGTTCGGGAATGTGCTAATTACTAAGGTTGTTGGTTTTGAATCAGGAATAGAGGAAAAGATAGATTGACCGCTAACAGTTTGAAATTTGATATCACGCACTTTATTCGATTGTAGTCAAAAGTCGATTTGCCTGTTTGAAAATACAGACCTAGACGAACGGTGGATAATGACGGTACGGAACGAACGGAGATCTTGCCCTTGACCAAACGTGCTGCTCGCGGACGCGACGGAAATCTTGGGCAGAGCTATAGACAGTAGCTCCGGACGCGGCGGAAATCTTCTCGCGGCGGAACGTACTTAGCAGCAATCAAGATCCGAGCGCGAAAACACGACACACCGCTCGCCAGATCGAGTCGGTTGGTCCGAATAATCGTAAAAGTCGGAACCCGTAATGATACAGACGGTTAGCACGGCAGTTTCGTAGTTCGACAGAAGAACGGCGCACCGCGGAACGCAAAGTCTTTGTTATTGATTGCGTATCACAAATCAAAACGAAACACGACAACACACCGAGCTTAATAAGGAAAACGAATATATATTTTTCGATCGGCACAAAAATGGGGGGTGCGCGACGGATCCTACTTGACGCACGGCGCACACGAGTAATCGAAAAAGGATCGCGAATGAGGATCCGCGAACGCGACTTTCAACGATTCGCTGAAATTATCCAATTATTAGACGATTCCGGAACAAATTACATTCATTTTTTCATGTATAATATTTATGGAAATATTTATAAAATATTACTACAAATATTTATTTTTTGTTTACCATAGATATTGTATAAAATATTTAGGTTAAATTTTAATAATAATTTGAATAAAGGTTTTGATACATTTTTTTTCATGTACATAAAATATTTATAAAATATTACTACACATACTTATTTTTTGTTTAACATAGATATTGTATAAAATATTTAGTCTATATTTTAACAATATTTTGAATAATTTAACTAACTTTTGAAGAATTTTAATACTTTTTTCCTTTATGTACATAAAATATTTATAAAATATTTACATAATACTTTTAAGAAATAGTTCGAAATAAATATTTATGAATCTTTATTAAATATTGTGTGCTGTCTGGTTTTCTATCATGAAAATTGGAGAGATAGAAGATTATCCGAGATATCAGGACTTTGAATAAGTTATCGCTGTTTTTCAACGGATGGCGTTACCAGAACTACATGCGTGTAGTTTAAGATGGTAACGCATCTATAAGGAAGTACTATAAGCAAGCTTGAAATTCAATGTATGTCATTTCGCCGAAGTATAAACAACTCTTTTTTTATAGTGTTAAACATGTCGAGTTTCCAAAAAGAGTATTTGCTAAAAAAAGAGTATTTGCGGGGAATTTTACTACACTACTTTATTAAAAAAAAATTTGCAGCTGAAGCACACAGAATTCTTGTTGAGACTTACGGCGACCATGCTCTGTCGGAAACAACATGCAGAGATTGGTTTAGACGCTTCAAAAATAATGATTAAAATAAAGAAAAAGATAAAAATGAATGTTTAAAATAAAGTACGCTCTGGCGCACCGAAAAAATTTGAAGATGAAGAATTGGAGGCATTACTTCATGAAGACTCATGTCAGACGCTAGCTGAACTTGCAGAATCATTAGGAGTTGATCACACAACAGTTTCGAAATGTTTGAAAGTATTAGGAATGATTCAAAAGCAAGGACATTGAGTGCCGCACGAGTTGAAGCCGAGAGACGTCGAACGGCGTCTTTTCACGTGTAAACAGCTGCTTCAACGAAAAAGAAAGG